AGTATGCTACTTAGAACTGAACACGAGCACTGAGCCCTGAGGAACTCCACGACCAGCAGCGATACATGAACATGAGTCTCTAGATGTAAACCAGGATTAACTGTTTTACAGAAGAGGATTAGAGCCGCCCAAAAAAACTCTGACTTTAATCTCAGGATTCTTTCTGAGATTAACCCGAGATTAACCCGATCACGCCACATTCAGATGCAAACAGGCCGACTTTAATCTCAGAATTCTTTCTGAGATTAAAGTCAGATTTTTCAGATTAACATCAGAATTCTGAGATTAGTGGGTTTTGAGATTAAAGTAAAAGTTTTGAGTTTAAAGCCAGAATTTTGTCCTTAATCTTAGAATTCTGAGATTAAAATCAGAACTCAGAGATTAAAGTCAGAATTTTGAGATGAGTTGGAATTTTGTTTTTAATCTCCGAGTTTTGAGATTAAAATAAAAAATTTGAGATTAAAACCAGATTTTTTTTCCATCCCTCTGGCTCTAATCCTTTCTCACTCAAGCCGCTCCCTTCAAGCTCCACAAACTAAATTTACATCTGTACTCTAATCATCTTAAATTCTCGATTACCATCAATGCTAAACAAAGCAAACGGCTGTTTTTTTTTTTGTTGTTGTTTTTTTTTGTCTGTATTTAGACGCAGTTTTCTGTTTCAGATCTGGTCTGGAGCAGGAGCTGAGGAGAGAACGGGAGCAGAAGTTAAATCTGAGCGCTGCATCCAGAGCTTCTGCTCCGAGGAAGATCACGCATCCAGAGAGTCCTCCTAAGGTGAGTCCAAATCGTCAGCAGTCCCAACCAGGAGATGACAGAAATCTCAAGTTCTTCCTTCCACAACAGCTTCTTTCACAATCTACACCAACCAAGACGGCCCAGCCACTGGAAGGACTGGAGGAGAAAACCAGTCTGAGCTCCAGTCTGTGAGTCCACAGATCTACACTCTGTTTTAATATTACAGAATATTACATCACTTTTTCTAACTTGTGTCTCTTTTTTAAGCTCCTTGTCACATACTGAGGATGAGCAGGTGAGGCTTGCATGAGATCTTTGGAGGATTAGGGCTACTCAAGAAAATATTCTGACTTTAATCCTTGAATTCTGAGATTAAAATCAGACTTGAGACTCAAATATCCAGAATTGATTTAAATGTAAACCTTTCTGTTTGGTGTTGCTTCAGGAAGAGACGCTCCCTGAGGCCCCCCCGCCATACGTTTGCACCCTGTGTAAACAGGACGACTCCCTCTTGAGGATAAAGGTACAAACTGCAGGAGACAGTCTGGGACACAAAACAGAAATCAGCTAAAATCCCTGCATGTTACTGAACGTTGTATAAAGACTGCAAATAAGAAGTGAGAAAAAAATACATCTTCCAGCTCATATTTAGTAGCTACAGTTTTAATCAATCTTTTTTATTTTTAACGTATTGAAGCTAAATGTGGCAGCTTTTTTCCCCTTTCTCTACTAGAAACAATGCAAGAACTGCTTAAACTTCTTCTGCGAGAGCTGCGTCTCTCATGAGCTGCCGCTGCCTTCCTCCATCCTCCCGGAGACGGTGTGCGCGTCCTGCTACTCGCAGTTACTGCAGCAGTACGCGTCGGCGCCAACATGAGCCCTCGCAGAACAACCAGAGGCATTAAGACCCAAAAACCGGCACTGCAGGAAGCACTTTCCCCCTCAAATTGTCATGAAAGATCCTCTTTGGGGTGCTTTTTTTTAAACGTTCGGATGTTTGCCATGCAGGTTTTCAACCAGCAACACCTTCATTTGGTGTTACTGGTGACTTTCACTTCAACATAAGGGAAAATCGGCTGCAGCATAGCTGATAAAGGCACCAAACTGGATTTAAAATCTATTTATATAATCTCTCTCATTGTTTCTTAGTATAAAAATATGCAATGAATGGGATATTGCTGCATATTTCAACAGATATTTATCTTTTTAATTAATAAAAATGGAGAAACTGGATGTTATGTTGTATTTTGAGCTTCTGCTTTGCTTTTTGTAGCGTTTATCAGATCGCAGTTTCAGTTTTGGTCTCTGCATCAGATTTCCGCAGGTGCCCAGTGGGGACCATCCGTTAGACATTTTTTTTACAAATTTGGCCTAAAATGTTTATTTTAAACGTGAAAGAAGTGGCCACATGCTTCTCATTTCTCCCTATTTTGAGAAATTGCATTAGCCTTATATGTATTTTTTATGCTATATTTAGTATTTGGTGGCTAGGGTTAGCCCATAAACGCAGCATAGCTTAGCATAAAGTGGAGGTACCTAACTAGATTCCAGTTAACTACCTTGTTAGCCGTTTCACCAAACCAAGACACAGAAGCTGATTACTCCACATATGGAGCTCATAAGGACAAAAAATTGGTTAAATAATGGATCCTACATGTGCAATGGTTGCACAATTGCTCCAGATTAAATGCTTATCTAGATTTGATGTGAGACCCATAAAGACCTTTATAGGTTGCTCTATCGCCAAGCCAAAGCGCAGAAGTCAATTAGTCCAACTCTATGGTTTTCCTCATGAATATATCACATATAGGGCACACATGGACAAAAAATGGCTAAATAATGGGCACCACTTGGCCTTGTCCAATGGTTTGGCAATGACTCCAGATTAAATGTTTCTATAGGTCTGATGTGGGGCCCATTTGGGCCTTTGATTTTAACCAAATACCAAAAAGGATCTTCATAGACATCTAGATCTAGGTCTGTGACCCATCTGGGCACACAGTTATAACTATCCTGGAGCCAAATTCAGAACAAAGAAAGACCTTCATAGGACGCTCCATTTGGTTTCGCCATTATGAGACGCACTACGTTGGCTCCCATTGTCTGTGTAGTACCCACAAATCCTTATGGGGCCCACATACTTCTGATGACTGGTATATTGTAGGTGCTACATCTGCTAATGCAAGGAATAATGGTGTGTTTTATAATATAAAGGTCTGCTCTACCAAAATGGCTGCTGTCTGAATAAAACATGGAAAAAGCAGAGGTAGTAAGTGGTTAGTACCTCCGTCTGGGCCTCATTAAATCTGTCACTTACAGTACTGTTGAAGTGAGAGTGATTTTTAGGGTTGGAAAACATGAGGTTGTTACTAACTGGATGGAACAGGGTTAAGCTAGGCTGGAGATCTGAGTTTATGGTTAGAAACATGACCATTTCTTTCTTTGTTTATTCCTAATTAGCTTATTTTTTTCAGCTGTCACCAGACCAAAGTGCATCAACAATCTGCAACTGCAGTAAATATGCTAGATGGAGCAATCTAAATGAGCTAGCATGAATTTTGCATTTGGTTTATTGTGTTATTGCAAATGTACATGTGATCTGAAGCTACTTTTAAAGTAAATAATAAACTGGTATCCAATTATTACTATACTGTTGCATTATTTTTCATCTTGTACAGCAAAGTGAAATCCATTTAATTCATTAAACAGAGCTAATGTATGGAGAGTGTGCCAAATTACAATAACTTATGAAATAATTGAAGTTGAAAATACTGGATGTTCTGATGTCATTTCAAAAATCAATGTGTAGTTATTTTCTGATTTAATGCTAATTTCCTGTCCTGAAGTACATCATGAATTAATTTAAACTGTCAACTTCACCCATCAAACTCAGTGGGTGGAATTAAAACTGCTTCTTAAGAGATCCTGGTGTCTGATTGGCTGCTTCTGAAGAGACCCTGGTTTCTGATTGGCTGCTTCTGAAGAGACCCTGGTGGCCAATTGGCTGCTTCTGAAGAGACCCTGGTGTCTGATTGGCTGTTTCAAATAGTGAGCAAAGATAACTTTTTTGGATTTTGACTCTGAAGACAATATTTTCTATGAAGTGTAAAATAACTTAAAATTGTTGTAAAGTATTTACTACAAACTCCAGGTGACCAACTCCAGTTTCTATGTTTCCTAGTTTGGTCTGAAATATCACTAAACATGGAAGAAGCTGCCACAGACCATATGATGGTCAACGTTAGCTCCGCCCACTAACTGCAGCTAACGGTCTCTAGCGAGATATTTCAGTCCAAACTAGAGAAACGGGCTGGAATTCTCTACCCAAAGTTTTAGTAAATAAATTGCAATAATTGAATTGTGTTTCTAAAGTTATTTGTACTCATTCTAGCGAACATATCGGCCTCAAGAGTCATAGCTAACTCAAGTCATGTTGACTTCTTGCTTGAAGCAGCCAATCAGACCTAAGAGTCTGTCCTAATCCCGCCCACTGAGTTTGATGGGTGAAGTTGACAGCACAGTAACATCAAATATGTTAGCAAATAAAGAAATTATATCTAATTTTTAAAATGAAATTAAATAATTCGAGGCACATTAATGTATATATAAGAATTTTTTGTTCCAGTTTTAAGAAATTAATTACCTTTAAGTAATTCTTTCATAAGTTATGCATTTATTTTGATTTAGCACCTTTTAGTCTCCACCATAATATTCCAGAAAATATTTTAATCAAGAAATAAAAAAGCATTTAAGTGCCAGAGCTCTGACAGAATATGATTTTATAAAAAGGCATAAAGTTTTAGTCCCTACGACTATCAAAAACATCCTGCAACATTTCACCTTTAAACTGGAACATATTCTGGTTGGTTTTAACAAGATATAAATCATAACAACTTTCATATGTCAGAGCAAAAAAGTTTCTGCTGTTGAAAGTATTATCATCTCTAAAAATCTTCTATCATAAAATAAAATCTAATAAATTTTAAAATGTGCAATTAAAATGAAAAACAGTTTTTCAGCACAAAAATATATAAAAATGACATTTCTTTGACACCAGGAATGGTTTTTTTTTCATTTTTTTTTGTTTAAAGAATAAATATGATGATCTTGATTATTAATTCCAAGGCTGAGTGTCGACATTCACCTAAAAAATGTATTCAGTGTTAGTTTCAAATTATTTTACATTTACAGTGAATACAGGGGGCTGGGGGGGCAAACAGAATTTAGACATTATTGTTGTTCCATACTACAGATTCCCAGAATTAGGTTGTTTAGAAAAATCTTCCAAAAAAGAACTTTATTGAACTTTAAAGCTGAAACATTTGAGGATTTCTTCTTCTGTAGGAAAACATAAAACTTCTGGATTTTCTCACCGTCAGTCAATAGTCTGGCACAGAGTTCAGGAACAACTCGATGTATCTTTGCCCTGAAAAGAAAAGAAAACTTTGGCATCAACAAAGATGAACCTACAGCGATCATTTTAGTGTTGATCTGGGATAAATCTAAACAAAAATGTAAAAAAAAAAAAATTCAAAAATCCACAAAAAAGAAAAGTTAATTTCTGCCAAAAAGCTTTATTAACTTACAAAAATTCAGAACAAAAACTTCAATCTTCAAACATTTCAGATAATTTGTTCACTTATTTTTGTTTTGACTGAAAATATGCATGAACTGCATCTACTACATATTTTCAGAAGGCTTTGGTTGTTTGTTCAAGAGATAAGTTACGGGAAATCAACTGGAAAATAGTAGTTTTTTATTTTTTTATTAAAAATAAGGATTACATGTGCACGGCCTTTTTAGACATGTTAATGTTGACATTACTCTTAACTGAATTTGATTGTTGTGACTTTTTGTTTGTCTAATTCATTTATTTTTAGTGAATTTTTAGTGTGTTTGCTAGTTTTTATTAGTTAAATATTCTTCAGTTTTTATTAGCTATAGTAGTTATTTTGGACTTGGGTTAATTTTTAGATGGAGAATTAAAAAAGGGTCAAAGTATTGTATTGTTATTATGTTTACCTTGTTTGGGTAATGAATACTAAACATAAAGTACCATTTCCAAAAATGCATTCAATTATTGTCAAACAATAATTCGACAACAATTCGACACCAGTCAGTAAACACACTGACTGGTGTTTACTCGTAATTTTCCTGTCGCCATTTTGCAAACTAGCATAAGCGACGCCAAGATGACTATGGCGTACCGCAATTTGACACAAACTGCTTGGATGGGAGAAAAATCAATTTTACATCAGTTTGAAAGGCTAATAAATAGATTCATGAACACAAAAACAAAGGATATATCTATAATTTCAGTATGCTTGTTTATAAACACGCGACATAGTTTCAGTTAGAAATAGTTTTCCCTCATTCGCTCACTGAATCTTTGGTTATAATCGTGAAAACAAAGGAAATTGCATCTTAGATTTCAGAATGTTTTATTCGTTATAAACACACAATATGGTTAGTGATTATAGTTTTTCGCCACTAATTACCGTTTTTATTTATCAGTTAACAGACATGTTTTTATTTATTTCAGTTTCCATTATTTCGTCAGTTCCAGTTAGCTATGATAGCCTTGTTGTTATTCCATCAGCGGCGAAGCTCCTACCCATGTTCATGCGGTCCCTAGACATGGCGTCCAGCGCGTCCCTGTGGCAGCGGAAGAAGACGTCGGCCTCACCGCTCGGCCGTCCGCTGGGTCCGAACTCCACCAGGATCTTTGACACGACGAGCGGCGAGAAGAACTGCAGGAGGAGGAGCAGAAACGCTGCGGTTGTGTCCAGTCAAACATGTGACGTAATGCTACTACTTCCTGTTTCCTGGGCCGTACCTTCACGATGTCTTCTCCAGTGACGTGGAAGGGAAGCCCTCGCATGTGGATGTAATGCGCCGGCGCATGCGACATCTGGTGGGAAGCTGAAGCAGCACAAATAACTTTGATTTATTATTTAGTACCACATTTAAACATCAATTCACAAATTAATTCTAATTCTGGGACGCATTTGGTTGGCACGTAAACGTAGCCTGGAAAGCACTGCTAATCCACCTCCTTTGCTTTTGCTCCTCCTCTCTAAATCTCAGTCTTCCAGCATGGCTAGAAAGCAGAAGATAGAGATGTACGAGTCTCATTCTGTCTCATGACCGTTGAAAGAAATGGTTTAACTTTCTCCTGTCTCTATGAAAAAGGATTAGGGCCACTGGAAAACAAACTGTGACTTTCATATCAGAGTTCTGAGATTAAAGTTAGAATTCTGAGATAAAAGTAAAAATTATGAGAAAAGCCAAAATTTGGAAAAAAAAATAATTATTTTCGATATTAGATCTCTTCAGTATCTCTCCGCTCTGTGAAAGCCTCATTTTCATAGTTCAGGTATTATTTGAGCTTTTGATTTGCTAATCAGCTGCTGCCAGTTGTAAAAACAACACTTTGTTGCCATGGTAACGCATCATAGCGATAACATAACCAAAGAAGTGACAAACAGAAGTCTAGAAACAGAACAAGTCAGAACTGACTTAGCAGAGCTGCTCCAACTTTCTGCCATGATTCTCAAAATGAATGAACTGAATTCAGTCACCAGCTCTGTAGTGGGTCTGGGAGTCAGGAACTGGTCTCCAGTTCGCATTCTGGGGCGGATTTGGATTTGGATTTGGAATCGGAATGGTCCTCATTTTCCTCAAGGCGGACTGGACGTCTTCCATGCTGCTGGGAAACACCTCGATGTATCTGCAGAAACGGTTGCAATAAAGCCGACACTTTTACATCTTTCTGTCGGCAAGAGGAAACCGGATCAGTAACAGCTACAGAGCCTTACCTGTGTCCAATAAGCTCTCTGTCCTTCTGCAGAGCTCTCTTGGCTTCCTCCTGAGAGGAAAACTGTACGTACGCTTGTCCAGAGTTTCTCCCCCTGGAGTTGGTAACCATGGTGATCCCGTTCTCAGCTATATTGAAACCTGCGTCGACAAAACAAGAAATCAAACATTAAAATCGTGTCACGCACAAAGCATAAAAACCCATTTTTGACTGATAGATATGTAGAAGAAAGATGGCCGCCATATTCTCATGTTTATTCATCAATTTTTAGAGAAAATGGTCCCTAAAATAACTTATCCAGAAGTTAAAAACACTATCATTTAACTACACCAGTGTAAGTAGATAGAAAATAAGAAAATAAAATTTCTGCCAAAAAATTTAAATTTTCTAGAAAAGAAAAGAAAATTTCTGAGCTCCAAAAGTCGCAAAATTGCCAGAAAAAAATCAGAAATTTTAAAGAAACAGAAGGAAATGTAAGTTTGAAAAGTTTTTTTTAAAGTGCTTAACAGGAGATTTTTTTTTTTTTTTTTTACAAAATTTGAACCAGGTGAAACTAAAACTTTGCTCCTTGAAAAGTTGGGGTAAAACATAATCACAGATGAAGGTTTAGTTTTTTATCTTAAATGCAGAAGAAGATTAATTACTGCTCTGAGCATGTTCTTTCAGCAAATGGCCTTTTTAGTGTCTGTATAGTCCAGTAAGCGATTGATCCATTACTAAATCTGTTGATGATCATTATTTCATAATCAATTAATCGCAAATAATCACAATTAATCACAAATAATTTGATTAATCGTTTCAACCCTAGCCTAGCTAGGCCAGTACAAATCCTGGATGGAGGAATTTCAGCCCTGTTGATCCTCTGGTTCATTTTTAAGGTCTCTGAATAATTTTTTCACCTGAGAAGAAGCGAGCGATGTCGTCCTCCTTGGAGGAGAAGGGCAGCCCTCTGAGCAGCACCACGTCTTCGTCACCCCGCGCCTCAGCTGATTTCTGCAGGATCTCCTCAGCGTCGCTGTTTGTCACCTCATACACTGAAAACACAACAGAAACTCCCATCTTTCTTCAAATAAAACACCCGATGGAGACCCTTTAATCATTTTAGAGCCGTAAAGCGAGATACTATTCGTTTCAGCAGAATCTAATGTTACTGTCACATCTTTTTGCAAAGATGGCACTGTTCAATGTTTTCTTTGAACGTTTTATAAAAATTATTTCATTTCTGTGTCTTTTCCTTGTGTTTTTGATTTTTTATAAAGACACTAACTCAAAACCTATTAACCTATAACCATTAAAAGTTTTAGCATCACAAAGATTTGAAATTTTATCAGGAATTTATGCACTTTATACCCATTCTGTTGCATTAAATCAAATGGATCGCCTCAGTTGTAATAAAGGATCAACAGATAATATCCAGAGATTTAAATATCAGCTGCCAGCAGGATTTTCCCCAGTGGATTATCAGCCTGGCAGACCGCCAGGCTTACTCTCCCCCCAGGCTGAATGTTTAAACAAGACTTTTTTTTTAATACACAAAGCTAGATTTACAGTAGACAAGCTGAACCATTTGAACTCAGGATGCACAATATATCAACTCTAGCATTGGTATCGGCTAACAATTGACATTTTTTAACATATTGGCATCGGCCCAATAAATAAAGCCGGGCCGACATGAACAGCCGATATTTATTTTTATCTTGTTGCCATCTGTTTCTGGTATTTTATTCTCCAAAAGTGTAGAAACGGTAGTGGATATCGGTATTCAGTCATACCAGTGATATTAAAATCACATCGGATATTTTCAGATCAGTGCCTCCCTACTTTGAACCAGCAGATTAAAATCCTGCACCAAGCTGCAGACGTTACTAAATAAAATGAGAGAGCTACAAAAACACAAGAAAACTTAATACAATAAATACTTGAATTTATTCTATTAATAAGAATATTTAGTTAAGCAAACAAATATGCTCAACTAAATATTAAGTTAACTTAATATTATCAGCGGTAATATTTTTTAAATTTATTTAATTTTTAATGTGACCAGCATTATTTAGATCCATCGGCTGATTACTTCATTAGGATTTAACTGATTACAATTGTATTGTTTATTTTAATTATATTTCATTGCATTTGCCTTTTTTAAGACTCTATAGCTGATATTTAAGCATTGTAAATACTGCATAATAACCCAGTAAAATCCCTCATACTCCTGTTAATTTTTCATGTTTTTAACAAAAAACACAGTTTTCCGCTGGTGGACGCGCTACGCTAGCGCCTGGACTCCCAGGGTTAGCAGGTTTTCTGACCCTGAGCAGAGAAACCGACCTTCAACGTAGCGTGGACCGAGGTACTGCCTGTGCTTCTCCAGAGCCTTGCTGACGTCTTCCTCGTGCTCCATCTCGATGAAGGCGCGTCCCGTCGGCCTTCCCAGCCGGTCCAGAGTCAGGTGGATCCCCTTCTCCCCATCACGGATCCTGCAGTCTGAAGCACAGTTCATCTTTTTCACCACGGATGCACCGATCCTCTTTTTTCACCTCTAATACCAATACCAATATCTGAAGCTTTGCATCGGCTGATACAGAAAAAAAAAAAAACTGAATTGACTTAAAAACAAACCAAACACACAGACATAAATGTACGTAATTACAAATTTATCTGCCAACTTTCACCTCCTTGGACAAACATGTAAAAACAACTTTAATTTTTTTTTCAGTCAGTGCATTTAGGCGTATATCAGCCAATGTTATAAAATAAATAATAACTGACAAAAATGATAAGTTGACTACCTAAAATGAGCTGGAACAAACCTTTCAAATCATTCAGAAAGTGAAATCAGCCATTCTAAATGTAATGGAAAATAAATAAAGCCACAATTTTTTTTATCTTAAATGTAAACTATATTTGTTTTTTGTTTTTTTTACAGTTTTGTCTTTATTACTGCTCTGAGTGTGTTGTTGTTTCAGCAAACGGCCTTTTTTGAGTCTGAGTACTCCAGTTAACGATTAATTTATTAATCAAGATTAATCGTTTCAGCCCAAATTGCGATACTTCTCAATAATATCACCATCTTCCTCCTTTCTAATAATTTGCAGATATTAATGAAAAATCTTTACACTTTACACAAGTTTCAGCATTACTAAAGCTGGTTACCTGAGAAGAACTGCAGCAGGTCCTGTGCCGTGCAGGACCAGAGGAGACCCTTCACCTGCACCAGGTAAACCTCTTTGGTTTGTGGCTGCGAATCAGTCTGATAGTCTGGCAGAGGAGGGTATTCCTCTTCGCATGGCGACCCAGCCTGGAAGATACACACACAATTTTTCAGGCACCCGTTTACCTGACAAAGACCTGTTACTATGACAACAATAATCAAGCCACATTCTCTGTCTGATAGGGGTTGATAAAACTTTCTCTTGCACATTGTGTCAATATACTTTGTTTTTGTTGGTCTGGAAACTATGGCTCATCTATGCTTTGCGGACCCCTTGCCTACCAAGATGGCGTTTCAGTGGCATAAATCACTTATGGTTCTTACTTTTTGGAACTATGTATTTGTTTACATTGTCTTTTCCTCTTGTCAGTCACAATTTAAACATAATGTGTAGTCTGAATAGTAAAATTGGTTTCTGAATTAAAAATAATTTGTGAATCAAATCATTAACCTAAAAATCCGAATCAGTCCCTGGACACTGAACGATTTGCATCTCCACTCAGCACACCTAAAAAGTAGTCAGATGCTAAGAATATAATCAATTTAAATACAAAATCCGGAGCTGATTTGTGACAAACTATCTTTTTTCAGAGTGAAACTGACTCCACAGAGCAACTCCCTGTGTTTCCAGGAGGGATTACGGGCCTGACCTTGGTGCAGAACCGGTGCTGGATGCTTCTCAGGCCGGGCTGGAGCTGACGGACCGTGGCTCTGTCAGAAATCCATGCTCGCTGCTGAATGTGGCTCCACCAGACGCCGGACAGCACGCTGCTTCTTGTTTTGATGGCTGCAGTTAGAGGCAGCTGTCTAACTGCGACACACCGCTGCAGTAGAAACAGGAGAGACTTACAGTTGGCGGACATCTTGTCCCAACGCAGCTGATGGTTAAAAAGTAAACTAAACGACTTCAGGAAAGATTCTCTGCCCCGGGTTCTCCTCAACCACCTGGACTAGTTAGCTAGCTGTTAGCTTCCCATTAGCTAAAAGTCACGTGGGTCTATGACAGTCAAGGGCAACGCACGAGCGCTTTGACGGTCAAGTGAACTCTAGCCAACTATCTGCATCCGGTTTACAATTTCAAAATAAAGGCGTATCATTTAACCACATAGAACTTCATATATAATTAGTATAGCTTCCGAAATGCTTTCAATCATCTTTAGGCGTTAAAAATATTGCATTTATTTTTCAGACAGATATTAACATATCAGGTAAGTGAACTTTATTTACATGCTATAATTGTGAAGCACTTTGTGAATTAATATCTTGAAAGATACAACGTAACATAGGCGTAACTAAATATTCTGGGAGCCAATCACTTATAAACTGACAAGACCATTTTATTCCTTAAAAAACAGGAATATAATACCTAAAGATTTAAATATCTGAATGTTCTCAAAGGCTTCAAGGCTTCATCTAAATTTAGATAAATGTGAACTTATAGCTCTGCATACATGCTCACCCTGCCCTCCAAGCTGAAGGAGGAAAAGGTGAGAAAAAGGATGAGGTGAGGGTCTTCATTTTTACTTGTGGTATTTCCTCCATGTAGTGTCCAGCTTTCATGGATAGTACACTGTAAAACATTAGAAGGTGTCTTAACTTGAAAATGAAAGTCCACCTTGAAAATGCAATTTAAGTCAACAAGAAAATTGTTTTTGTTTTAACTCAGAAACTAAAGTTCATGAAGTTGATTTAACAACAAGAGACAAGTTGTCTAAACATTGTTTTTTAAGTTTATTAATCTTGAATTGTGAATTAACTTAATACTGCAATATTTATTTCACAATATGCAAGAAAAAATAAACTGCCCTCACCGAGTTAAATAGCACAAATTTCTCTATTATTTTCACTCACATTATCATCGCAATGAATTCTGCTCTAAAACATTTATTGTGAACGGGACATTATCCTCAAGCTTTGCAAATTATCATTTGCATTAAAATAAACTTTTGTCTTAATAAAACACAAGAGTCAGATCAGTGTAACACACTTCCATCACAGGATAGAAAAACATGCCGCTAAGCACACTGGGAAATAGTTCCACTCTCTTTCTTCCTTCAGTTTTTTAAGTGTTACCCTAAAAACTCTAGTTAATTCAATTATTGGAGGTTTGACAAAATTAATAAAAAGTTAACATAAATTATTACTGTAAGTTTATCTTTCACAAACTCACAGATTTAGGTTCAAAATCTAAAACTCGCTAAATTTATTTGACTTAAAGAGCAGAAGATAGTAGACACAACTAAATGTGGCTCAAATGTTTACAGTGTACTTACCTTGGATGTCACAACATGAGAAGCTCATTTGGTTTTTTCTTCTTGTTTAAAGAGACACAAAAAGGCCAAGCAGCAGCCGGACTGCTGCTGCCGCTGCTGCTCCTGCAGCAGGAGCTGAACTCATGTTAATAGTTCAATTGTTATGTTGTTTTTGTAAATAGTTAGGATTTTGCATTTTCTCTTGTTTGCTGTTTATATTCTTAGATTTTATTATGCAGTTTGACAAGAACTGTTCTCAGTTTCCTTTTTTTTAAGTTTACAAACTAGCTGTGGGGGTAAAATGTAATTTTTATTGAACAACAAAAAAAGCAAAGACCTCAAACTTGGCAGTGATCCAGCAACACACAAATAAAACTTAATAATGTGCCATTTTATTCACATAATTATCTTTGACACATCTACATGTTTTAATAAAAGCCAAGTGTTTTAGAAATGGGGCATTTCAGGAGACTTAGAACATGATAGACTTAGGGAAAGTGAGGTCAAATGGTAAAGTTGTTGCCATGTGGTCTGTTGACATTCACCTTGTACTTGGCTGGGGTTGGTACTAACCCTAACTCATTTAAATAAGTGGACACAGAGATTTATCTATTGTGAGAAGAATATTTCTCATGAAAATGGAAAGTACTTCCTGTCTAATCTACCTTGCACATTTGATTTTGTATGGAAACAAAAACACACTATATCAGAAAAGGTAATTTAATCAAACATTGAAGATGTTTCCATACTGCAAGATACTGAATTTCATCATGAATGGCACCTTAAAAATAAACTTTGTCATTTTTATCAAATCAAAATGCCTTACGGTTCCATATTCCAAGTAAAATATTTTCAAATCTGGGTGGAGTTAGTTTCCTGCTTAGATGTGACTTTGAGAAAGTTTTAAAGGCAGTTTGAAAACTGCCTTTAAAACTTTCCCTCTTTCAGCAGCAAGTGGTATTATATTTGAGATTAACCTACAAATATAATTCGCCCACACAATACTCGCTTGTGGAACTGCGATTACATAAAAATTAATAATACACCAATTTTTGCACATAGGCATGAACAAAACAATGGAGGTGTAATGTCTTTTGAAGATTTCAGCATTAAATATTATCTGCAAATAAAAAGTGAATTTCAAACAAATTATTAGAGCTATTCACCTAAATATTTTATGTTCAGCTAAAAATTATTATTATTATTATTATTATTATTATTATTATTATTATTATTATTTACTTATTTTGTCATTACTTTTTATTGTTGGTTTGTGTTTTTCTTTTTTTCTTCACTTCTGTATGCTTGGAAGCAGCCTGTGATTTTTTCAGATTTGAGAACATCTAATACTGATTTCATATTTGTTCTAATCTATGTGATATTAATATTAAAAAAGTCACAACTCGCATCTTCTTCAGTTGTGTTAAATTAATGTGAATGCTGCCACCTAGCGGTTCGGATTGGAATAATCTCAATGCAGTCAGTATTCTGCAGTCAATCTTTTATGGTTCTCTAAAATAAATATCAGCTACTCTTCATGTCTTTGCAGTACTTTCAGCACTGATGAAATTTTTGTAAAACAAACCTTACTGTTTATTAAAACAAATGTTGGCTGCAAATAATTCACTAATGATTGAGTTAATGTCCACAACAATGAAAAAGATTACGGTTTATGTCCCTGAAATTGTTGTTTTGATGTTATTTATTTTAATTATTTTTATCCTGTTTCTTTAAAATACCAAACTTTGCTCATATTTATATTTCTGTCGAATTAAATTTTATTTTTACAAATTAATTCAGATAGTATAATCAAATTGTTCATATTTGAGTAGTTATAAGTTAATACAATTTTTTTTTTTTTGAATTATTTTCCTTCAAAAAAATCAAAATATATTTGAAGGCATTCATTTAAAAAAGTTAGAAGTTAATTTTTGTTTCTGACTTTTGGTGGAAATTTGTTAAAATCTCCTAATTAATGATTTGATAAAATAATGTCCATGAAACGTTGTGTTTCTCATTTAGACTTACTAACTTCATTTATAACAATATAATAAACATTTTAAAGTTGCAAAAGAAATCTGAGTAATAGCTTTTTACTTTTTTTAGTTAAATTTGATGCAATTTAACTGAGTCAAAGTAAGAAGAAAATTACAGAGTCAAGTTGAGTTGGCAATTTTTTTTACTCTTCCCAGATCTTCTTAAACTTTTAATGGATTTCAATCAAGCTGCTCTGGGTGTTATTTAGGAATAACAGAGTAAAGATGGGTGGATATACTAATGCACACCACACTTTTCAGATTGTTTATGTGTGAAAAAAGACAGAAATGGCAGCTAATTCAAAGTGTTGCTGCCAGAATCATAAATACTTCTCTCTAGCTTTGCTGGACTGATTTTACTGGAGTCAGACGAAGCTTTAGCCTAAACAGGAAGTGAGCTCCATCCATCTTAAAGCAGGGCACAAGTGCTGCATGACGGTGCTTTATAGGAACTGCTTGCTCAACCTTCTCATTACTCACCCTGATGATGAAATGTCAGCCATTTGTGTCTCTGAAGCTGATCATTCGACCTCCACATAGACTTCTGTTCAGTAGCTGCTGGCTGTGCTCAAACGTGAAAGCATGCTGTGTCATCAGATTACATTTCTATTCGAAGAAATATACCCTCACCTCTAAAACATTTCACATTTCCTGTACACACTGACGTGTTAGGGAACAATGGAGGGGCAAACTGACCCCTGGATGAAACACAATGGGTATTCTTTTACATGCGGCCTTATCTCCAGGGAATTTAGTGGGAAATTATATATTTACCTCACCTTCTTAAAAACATCATCATCACTAATGCATGCATTCAATATTTCTCACATTTAGACTAAAATGCACCTTCAGAATGTGCAAACTTTAAGTTATTGGCTTTATCAAAGGTTTCACAAGCAGAATATTTAAAATACACTGTAAAAGGTAATATTCTGATTACATTTTGTGAATTTAGTTGTGTTTGTTGTAGATTTTTGGCATCTCTTTGATATTATTTGAGCAGCTCATTATGGAAATTTCAAGTATCTTCATTTGTTTGTATTTGTGTCTGTAGTTTTTCTGTTTGTCTTTTCTTGTCTGTCAGTAACGTTTTTCATGTGAGGAATTGGTTGCTGTTTACATCCAAACCGTATGGCATTCAGTGACCACTGGAGGCACTGTTTCCCTTTTTTTCTTTATTTGGGTTCTTTTTTCTCTTTTTTTTTTTTTTGCTCAAACTGAGCACCCATGTGTTAAATTTTCAAAATCGATTATTTTTTTGGTTTGCTACTCCTTTAAGTAATTATATAGTACTATTTTTACTGTATAATTTCTAAAATGTATGAAGAACTAAATGCTATTACACATTTTAAAAAATCAGTATTATTTTTATAGTTATTACACAAATAATAAGTTAATATCTTCCTGTTATTGGCTGCTGACACTTTTGGGGAAATGTAAGATATCAAACTTGTTAACCATAATGTAACCAAATGTAGTGTTTATCAGCTGATTTTACTTTTAAATACTTAAAATAATATGGCACACTTTAATACCACTCTGCATTTCAAAATTAATTATTTTTATTTTACTACTCCACAGCACTGATATGATGTAAGCTAATTTCAAATGACGCTAGTATGCTACACATAGAGTAGCTTAGGAATGATAAAGCATCTGGTGTTCATGTTAGTATGGTGGGGTCCCAAATGAAAGTATGTTTAGGGCCCCAAAAAGGCTTGGGTTGATCCTGACCCCTACAAAAACATGACATTTATATAATTTAGGTCTCTTAAAAAGGTGTAGCTGTCAGTTGTTTAATCAATTTAACTTTTGTATTTCAAAAATGAATCAGACAAACACGTGTTGGTTTCTGATTGGGAAAAAATATGTGTGAGTTAATAATGTTTTCTAAAATCAGTATGTGGTTTCATAGGTGGAGCGTCTTCTTCTTCTTCTTCTTCTTGTTATGTTTTATGGCGACTGGTACACCAGCTGTGAAGGTGCACTACCGCCACCTACTGAACTGGAGTATGGACAGGAGGTAAACAGAAAAAAACAACTAATGCTCTGAAATCAAGGTAATAATTAAACTAAATTCTTTCTGGTAAATTTGTATTTTTCTAAATAATAACAACAATAATAATAATAATAATAATAATAATAACAAAACACCTTAATTTGATATCTTATTTTACTAACATCACTGCTAAATATGTTATCCACTGTATATTGTATTTATTTCTTTTTAGAAATGCCTTCTTTATGATTCATTGCCAGAGCATTCCATAAAAACATACAGTTTAATTTATCACAAAGTCCTGTTACATGTTTACCAATTACTTTAAGATATTTATTTAAACCTCTATTTCCTCCTGCTTTTCTTTGTATATCCTACCTTTGTTTCTGAATGCTACACTTATGCTTGAACCCTAAAAGAAAATGAAAGTTATATAAAATGAAACGTGTTCGTCTCAGCATGGAGGGGGAGTAAAAAAAAAGGAAAACTGCGTCACATGACCACCTCTTATATTTCCTGCAGCAGCCTCCCCTATCGGCTCCTCTCCTCGGCTGCTCCCCGCCTGCGACAGCTCAGCAGCGGTGTGGTCGCTTCGAACGAGCGCTAACGGAAAGGAGAAAAAAACCCGCTCCACTCCACACTGAAAGGCCTCCACCTCACTGTAGACTAGCTACAGTCACTCCGACGCCGGATACCGCACATAAACACCCCTAGAGAGGCTTTTGGTCGACTTTAATTTGCTTTTTTTTATATCAGAAAAAGCCAATCCCCATAATGGCGACAGCTTTCCCTGCTGGCTCCAGCCCCGGACCGGGAACGGAGCTCGTCCGCGGACAGGCCTTCGACGTTGGGCCTCGGTACAGCAACCTCTCCTACATCGGGGAGGGCGCCTACGGGATGGTGTGGTGAGCGCTTTTCTTTTATCCTAATATTTATGTCTTTACTCGAAAAATTTCAGTTTTATCGTCGAAGCAGTTTTATTATTTCCTATTTTAAATCTTTTAAACACAACTTCACTTGTCATGTTTTAGCTAGCGAGCAGCGAGCGGTGTCGGGCAGACGGCAGTTAGAGCGAAAACGGATTAAATCACGGTGTGTGACCACCGGAGACTGATTCAAACTCACAATCTGGAGGTTTTCAGCTACACTGTGGCAAAATCCACCCAAAAAATAGTAAATATTTGCTTTTATTGATCCCTAAGCTAATATCCGCAGCGTTTATGTGGACTTGTCACGCTGTGCAGGATCCACGTCTTTATATTTGCAGCAGTGTAGGAACTGTTTACCTCATAATGCATGCTTATCTTTTTTAACTTGTAGATTTTTTTTTATCACTTTCACTCAAATCGAGCGTGTTCCCACTCATGCTACCTGTGCACTGTTTGGATGTGGTTGCATAATGTGCCTGAAAATGTGCTGTGGGAGGATCTCAAGGGGATTTTTTTGTACCTGCAAAATTTCCAAAAAGGGTTAACATGTGTCAAAACAAATCATTTCAAATAAAAGCGAGTTTAGAAAGTTATAGGATGTTGAGATTAAACATTATTGGGTATTTAATGGTCTTTAATTTACATAAAAATGCATTAAAAGTAGTGATGCACCAATCTGTTTGCCAATTTTCTCTTGACTGGTTCTGATCTGGGATCAGATTTTTTCCAAAATGCATTAAAACATTTGTGCTTGGATGCATCAATCCAAAGCATTTACCCGACTTTCTTTCCTATAATGAAAATCAGATTACAGTTAAGGACAGATTCTTTGGATAAATTGTTGCAATCTTGCAATCCCTTCTTTTTTCTGTTTTGATTAAACAAAACCTCCTGCTATTTATATAAGTATTCTCAGGAAAAAAATATGAATTAGGTGTAACCCCAATCAGCCTCAACCTTAAAGAAAATCAGAAGTTGGTATCCACCAGGAACAACTTAAACATTACCTCTCTACTGAGAATTAGTAGAGGTAATATCTTTACTATATTCCTTAATATCTTAACTATTATCTACTACTATGTTCTTTAATATCTTAAAGAACATCATCAGCAATGTCTTTGAAAAGCTACAATATGTGAAAACAAAATTTTATTTGAAAGAGATGTGAAAATGAGCAAAAAATATATAGTACTGGTCTATATTATAAGGAGGGAATGACAAATCCAAGTAAAATAGAAAGAAAATGTAAAAGAAAACTTAAACTAAAAAACAAGACATGTAAATGTCATGTTTTATAAAGATTTGGCTTTTATTAGATGCAGAGAGAGATTTACTCTGGTGCAGGGCCGGACCAAAGTTGTATGGGGCCTTGAGCAGAATTTAATTTGGGGCCCACCACTAACTGTGTTCCCAGTACAGATTTAGTTTGTAGATCTTTCTTTGGACTTTTACAAGCTAAACTTGGCAATTTCATTAAATCTTAAAGATTTTAAACAATTTAAAGTATTTTTACCTATGCTGAAACCATCAAATTAAATTTAACAATATTGCTGTTCTCAATAAACAGATATGAACATTTTAGATCTCTGCTAAAAGTCTAACATTTATGGGAGGCCTCTTGTGGCTTGGGGGCTCTAAATTGCGTCCAAACTAATTATTCCATCTGCAAAATTATTAAATAAACCTTTAAAAGAAAAAAAAAAGAATAGAAACGACCAATAATTATATTTTTGCTTTGAAACCAAACCATCTCCAGGTAAAAACTAGAAATCGATGTATAAATCCATTCACTTTCTTTGTGCAATCTGCCTCTTTTGTTTGCGTATCATATCATTTGATTTTTGGTATGCAGGTGACTGAAGGAGAACACAGATCATTTACATGGGTGAAAACAATCTAATCTGTGGTAAGGATTGTGTGAGGAATTTAAAGCAGTTTTTGAGCATTTAACCCCCCCATCCACTGAGTTGTATAACAATCTCTAGTTTACATTAAATTGGTCTTAATTTACATTAAAATATTTTATTTAAAAAATGGCAATGCATCAACTTGACTGGCTTTAATTTTGGTCGACAGATCTTATCTATCTCTAAGGTAGTTTAAGCAAGAAGCTCCAAACAGGTTTGTAATCTAACCTGTTGTGCAAGTTCTGATAATTAAATTAATAAATACATTTTTTAAATGACTTAATTTAATAATTTGGACTTTGATGCTCTAAGATTTTCATTTATATTTGAGAGCATGACCTGATGTGCAGTTAAAACCAGTTTGTATTGTTTCTGGGGTATTGTAAAATAACATCTTAACATTAAAATTACTTGTATAACACCTGACTTGCTTAAAAAATAATCAGCTTGTAAAGATTGGTATTGGCCAGAAAACTGCAATCGGTGCACCCCTAAAAAAGGGAAAAAAAATTGACCCAAACAATAAAAGGTAAAAATTTGCTTTCAGATGCATAAACACATTTGGGATGTTTTACATTTTTAGATTTGCTTTTTTAGACTGTGGCGCTGCATTCAACCTTAAACTGAACACACTGTATTGGATTACATCATAGATCCTTGTGTCAAACAGCAGCAGAGTCGTTCTTTTGTCTTCCTTTGCAATACAAGCTGTGCTTTCTTTGAATTGCAGCTCCCCGCCCTGATATCTGCAAGACAAGTTGATTAGGATTTTTTTGTAGTTTTTGGTCCAAGTAGTGATAAAAACACACATAAGAACTGGTAAGAACTTGCCATATAAATGTTGAGTACTGTTTGTACTGAAGGGTAATCGGCACATGAATTAGCAAAACGCCTGACTGTTTTCTTAGTAAGTCAACCAGGGAGTTGTGCGTCAGGATGGGTGCATGTTCATGCAAAGGAAAGGAAGTTTAAATTAAGTAACTAAGCAAAGTGAAGAAGCATCTATTTATTTTTAATACCATAAAAGAACAAGCATATCTGTTTATTCTGGATGATATTTAATTGGTTTTTTGGCTGTAATAGTGAGGAAACAGGCCTGATGGGTGGCTCCTCTTTTCTCTAAACCAGCAGAGTTATCCCACCTCCAGTAGTGACTGGTTACTGGTAACCCAAGGTTCTAATAAGATACGACTCAGACTTCTACTTCAGAGTTCATACAGCAAGATTTCTAGGTGGATTTTTGTCCTCTGGGTCGGCCATCTTTGTTTACTTTGAACTCATGTTTGACATAGGCCTGTCACAATAACACATTTTTCTAGACCATAAATTGTCCCAGAAGTTATTGTGATAAACGAATATATTGTTGTTTTGAGATTATTTTCAAGTATTGTTATGGTGATGGCATAATTATAATGCAGGAAAACATTCTCAAATGTCAAACTTTAAATTCTAATGAACATTAAAAACTGGAAGACATTCTAAATATCCAAAATAAATAAACAAAAACTAAATAAGCAACAAATAAAATTAATTATAAAGTCTCTATTGAAAAAATGTCCTTCAATAAAGGAGCTAGCTGAGACCGAAACACCATAATGACGACTTTTATCATCCATTTTTTCGTAGGAAAGGAGAAAAATGATAAATTATGCAAAAGAAAATTATTAAACTTGTTTAAATTTATCATGCAATTAATTAATCTATTGCTTGTTGTGACAGGTCTGCTTGAGAGGTTTTGCAGGTTTTTAGGGACGCACCGATATGAAAATCTGGGCCGCTGCCAATATCTGATATCTGATTGCTGTTATGGCCGATAACCGATATGTGCTGATATTATATTTCAGTACAGTTTCAACACATTCAGGGGGAAAAAAGATGTAAAGAAATGACTGATATCAGTTAGTGCCGATATATCGCAGATCTCTAAAGTAAATGTATGTCTATCACTTTTTCTCAAAAATGCTCAGCTTGTGATGACGATTGGATGCTAGTTGGCAACAGAAACTAATCTGGAGCTGAAAGTCGGCACCAATTTGTTTGTGGAAAAGATTTAGACTTTTTTCCATTTGTTTTAACCTTTAACTTCAAAATGATCCACAAGTATAGTCTGCCTGGCGTTACCTAAACTTCCTCTGTTCACACATAAACATCAGCCACATGGCTCGTGGTTTTCTGAGCAGCTGGGGAATTTCTTTCTGCATCTCCTCCTCTTGTTGACCAAACTCTGACGTTTTTAGTGTTTTTAAAACTCATTTAATGAAGTTTCTGTTTGTGTCAACTTTTCATCATCACTGCCGCTCTGGAGAGAGATTTTCCAAACCCTGCAGCAGCTGGTTAAAGATGTTCTGTTTGTTGTTTTACATATTGTTACATTTCCCTCCATGTTATGAACAAGTAAAGTGGGATTGTTCTTTCTGTGGAGCTCCCATGAGTGGAAACAGTTTTTTGGGGTTGAATTTAAATATTTCTGGTTTGAAATAGCCTTTCTAAGGTTAGGCGTGTTGTGGCCACTCTTGTGCATGTCTGGAATGTTTTAATCCATTTGTGGATCTCGTCTGGGCACGTGTGAAGAATTCCTTGCAACCCAAATGTGTATAAATACGCTTTATAAAAAAGTTTCTATTGTCCATAAGCTGTATTTTCTGAAAGCTTGACTATGAAGTTGAAGTTGCATTGAAAGTCCTGCTTCTGCGATCAATAATCCTGTAAAAATGTTACAGACAAACTTTCTGTTGTTTTGTAGGTTTGGTAAATGCGGACCATTTTAGAAACATTGTCCATGCTTGTTATGAAAAAGCGTCGTTTCTGTATCGTTGGAGCGTTTTGGTGTGCTCTGAGGTCTCGGCCTCCTTGCACTTTTCTTGCTGTTATAGAAACCTGCGGTTTTAAAGCACTTGGGACATTTTAGCGCCCTGCAAAAGTGGTGCAGCAGGTATTTCACAGACGTCCCCTGGTTAGACTCGGAAATACCTTTTAAATAGCATGAGAACTTTCTTCTGTCAGGTTTCACTGGTTGCATTTCCATTAAGCCCCCTTAGTCTAGATTGGAGAGGTGGAAACTTTGTCATC